CCCCCAGGGTAGAGACGTTCTTCACTTTGTTTGGTATAATACTGCTCTTCACTCTTGTGCCGTGAATCGTCACTTCATTAGAGGTGAATAAACAGATGAATGGAGTGGACATGGACATCAGTACATCTCCTAATCCTCTGTCCTAGTCCAGCAGTCATCAGAACCCTGGACAGTTCCCCAGTCCATTAAAGAGACAAACAACAACAAGTGGAGTGTCCACTAACTGAACCCTGTATGTTCTTCTGACTGTTGGTGATGGAAGGGATTCAACCAGAGTTGTAGAACATGAGCCCCAACATCTCTCCCAGCAGTCCATGGGTGAGGCCATGGTTACACCCTCAATATACACTCACACACACACTCACACAGAGGGCCAGTTTAGAGGGAATGGAGCTAATCTCCAACCGGCATGTTTGTGGTCTGTCAGGAGGACACAGCACCTGTGGGTACAAAGGTGGATTTGAACATAATATATAATGATTTTGTGCTTTCTTTACTATACTTTAAATATAACAAAATATTAATAAACAATCATGTTAAATTTAACAGTACAACTACCATACTAACAACCCTCATAATGGACTCTTTACTTTGACTGAATCTGTAAATTACCACTCAGTGACAAACTGTGTATGTAAATGTTGGAAAGGCTTGAAGTGAAGCATATCTTAGAAAAATACTGTTGGTTAAATATTGCTGGTAAACATTTACTAGAACAAAACCATGCTTGTATTGAACACAGTGAGATTTGTAAAAATGTTTGAGATGAATGGAACGTTTCAGAACAGCAGTAGAAGACGGACACTGGAGAGAGTTTGGGAGAAAGAATGAATGTAGTGGGGCAAAAGACAACGAGTACATTTGAGGGTTTAAAAAAATGAAACAATGAGCAATGTCTGCACACTTAAAAACATGAGAACAATTCATCGTGAATTACCGCCTGATAATTAACATTATTTCCTATTCTGACTCACCTGCAGCAGCCTCTGGGCCTTGTAAAGACAGGGTTGCCATGGTAAACATACACTCACTTGGTTTTACATACATTGGATAAGAAACATTACATTTAAAAATTCAGAACCACATTTTATTTATTATTCACACTGCAAAGTCAGATCTCTCCATCCCAGTGGACCTGCTCTTCACAGTCTTTAAGATGCTAATTTCACTGAGATGATCAAACCAGAGAGAAAAGGGATGAGGAGAAGCTGGAGGGGAGATCAAGTCCACTCTCTGGGCTCCATACTGTACACTGAGCCTCTGCACTCCATTACACTGAGTGATACACTGTACACTGATACGGCAGCAATGTTCTCACATCAAAACATCAACTTAAGTTCAGTCCTTGTATACATATACATGTGTGTGTGTACAGTTAGAAATAGAAATATTGTGTGTAAGAGTCAAATGTAATTCCAAATAACTAATTAACCTTATTCCGTGGAGTTCAGTAACATCAGATCAAAACATTTTTATAATACGAGAATATATTCCTTTAAAAATATGCTTTTCAATTACTTTCACATAAGGTTCACCGTGAAAATCTCGGACACACTCCCTGACACTACGATTTTACACTTTTCATGCTCTTTTCTCCTTCCATTTCAACAAAGTAATCCCCAGCTGCAGCACTAATACAATTAGCAGAGCATATCCAATCCCTTTAGTTCCCCCCCGTCAGGAAGAGCTGAGCTGAGCTCTGCACTAAGAGGGAGGCTCTCTAGGACTACACTTCCCATGCTGCCTCAGGAAAACCACAAATATGTTTGAATAATAAATGAACGTACTACACTAAACAATGATGAAATAAAGAGAAAATATGTTCTATCACAGTCGGAGTCAGAGAGAAACAATCATCAAGATCTTCATCTCATTTTTACGACCTCATCTGTTTACACAGAGTCAGAGAGAAACAATCATCAAGATCATCTCATTTTTACGACCTCATCCGTTTACACGAGAATACTGTCCAGCCAAAGACTGATGCAATATTTCTCATAGTACTGACATCATTAATGTTATTACATCAAGGAAATATCTATTTATTTCATCTGTATTAACTTCAGTCCTAGAATCACTGTCACAGGGCAATATAGAAATATACAGTAACAGGTGCAATAATTTGAATACACATAGACTGTCACCTATGGTGCCATCTGCTGGAGGGGGTGATGTGTTGGAAAAAAACAATCAGGGGCAATTTCAGTGTGAAAATCATGTTGGAAGTTAGCTCCATAATTCATTAACCCCCGAGGAGACAGGCCATTATTTAGTTAAGTTAGCAAATGCACACGTGTGTGTGTGTGTGTGTGCGTTCATGTTGTTCTGTCAAACTGTATGAGCACATACACATTTGTACACACACACACACCTGTGACAAGTTGAAAAGCAAAATATCTTTCAATGAAGACAACAGTCTGCTCTCTTCTTCAGTGGTGTCCTTTTGCAGAAGTTCAACAACCAAAACACATTTTCAACAAACTTTTGTTTAAGTGTGATGTTTGCTCTGAGTTTTAAAAAAGCAAAGAAACAGGCTTGGTTCAGCACGATGCCATGTATCTACGCCAGTTTTGGCCTGCGGGTCTTATGTTTGACACCCCGTCTTAAAGGGATACAGAAATGTTTGCATGGCGTAAAGTGTCGGTGGCCCAAAGGTTTAAGGCTGGGTTTCTCCAAGTAGAGTTGTCCGTGTGGTGAGACCTAGTTTACTGCATTGACTCCCAGAGCGTGATATACAGGCAGACAGATTTGTTCAGGCCAAAACATTCATCAGCTCTCGAAACAAAAAAATGTTCTCCAACTCAGCCCTCTAAGGCCGAGCTACACCAAGTCAGCCAGAAAAGGACTTGTCTTCCTTCATTCCAGCCTCTGTTAACCAGCCGCCAACTCTCCCTTCTGTCTGACTTGGGCTCGATTGCCCAGAAGTTTCCCATTGCTCACAGTGAGTCACTGAGTCGAAAACAGGCTGCGGACCACAGTCACGGCATCAGCTTATAAGTAATCATTCTGCTATGTAGAGTCGATAGTGTCTTTTTGTTTCCACTCTGTCTTCCTCTGTGAGGTGGAGACAGGACATTTTCTTAACACATGATGGAATTTAGGAAGCTGTGAAAAAACAAAAAAAAAAAAAAAAAAAAAAAAACAAAAAAAATAGTGGCCAATTCCAAATGGTGTCAATAGAAGCTGAGACCAGTCTTTGCTCTGCCAGTCACTGCTCCAGACCACTGAGGACTCTGCATCGCCTCTGTTTGCTCATGTGTTTTCCTGTTGAACTTGGCTCAGTCCACACACAGCATGACATCATCCCCTCTGCACAGCACATATCCGTTTAAGATGTGTTTACAGTGCTCAAACCATCAGCATGCCTCTGCTCCCGCTGCTGTAAACACTGAATGCGTCCGACCACGTGCGCACACTCGCATGTGTGCTCGCTGTTTACTCAGAACAGATAAAGAAATACAACAGAGCTGGAGGCAGAGCTCCAGTCCTCAGGGGCCTGTGATCAAGTACAGCCTCGCTGGGCCGACAAAGTACCGGGGAGGTCTGAGCCGTGGCTGTCAGAACTTCTTTGTAACAGTACCGTCTGTGAACAATGCTGAGGAGGAAACACGGGTCCAACAGGAGTGTTGTTTGTAAAGTCAAGTGTGGCTCGGAAAATGCTTTTCTCTTGGCTCTGTGCCAGAGCAGTGAAGAGAAAAATTAAACAAAGAGGAAAAAAAAAAAGAGGACCAAAAAACAGATGACATCAACCGAGAGAAATACTCAAAATATTTGTCCGAGTAGGGAATTTTTCTGAATGCAGCTTAATGGAATGTGGTAGAAGGAAAAAAGGTTCAGACAGTTCTACGTGTCTCTCTTCACCACTTAGCAAATGTGTGATCCTGTTATGGCTTATGAACATTTTACAGGAAACTGGGAGTTAAAAACTGAGAGTTAGAAGTCTGGCCAGGTTCGTTCTTGGTTTGTTTCCATCTCAGCAGAAATCCAATTTAGAGTCACCTCCTGTTGACCACAGATCCATGAAGCCAACATCACTCAAGGACAGTGAGTCAGCCAATCAGGACGAGCCTAATCTAATCCGCGCTGCTGAAATCTGAGCCGCCACGAGACAAACAGAGGACCGTGATGTCACAGGGTAGAACCTGTGCTCCATCTGCCTGTAGAGGGAGGAAATGAGAGAGGAAGCAGGAGAGGAGACAGTGGATAGGTGACAAAGCTGCTGCTGTCATCGGTCTTTTCTTTTTCCTGTGCAGCTGAGGCCACCTGAGAACACTGCTGCCACTTACTGCACACGAGGGAGTCCAGGCATATCTATCAGAGAAGTTGTAAATTGGGTTTGGTTTACAATTTGATGTTTGCTCTGATTTTGGAATTTCTTATGGGACGTTCACTCCAAACGTGATAGATGTGAAAAAACAAGCTCTAAATGTCTGAAGTGCACAGCTTGATCATTTTTGGATCAGCGCTTCTTTCTCGCTTGTCGCACCTGACTCACTAGACAGCCCGGGGAAAAAAACGGTGTGCAGGTGAATTAAATTTGTCCGCTCATCCCTCAACCCGCTCTCTTTCACAGCGAGTCGGGAGAAAAAACCCGATCAAATCAAAGCTAACAGCTCAGCGTTTGACAAAGACTTGATGATTGGACGCAGCTAAACTGGTCCGAGATCTAACTGTGAAGAAACAGAGTCACATGACCATGAAGCAGCTCCCTCCACAAACCACACTGGTAAAAGTACAAACATGAACCCGTCAAAACCTCAACTTTTCACACTTCCTTTCTTTATTTTCTTGAACCCAAACGGACTCAGAGACATTCCTGTGGCTGTTTCTTTTAGGAGAACTGTTGAACACTCAGACAATGGCTGCCAGAGTGAGCTGCATCTTTTGGTGCCAACATCAACAGCAGGACACAGAGACCCCACAGAGAAAAATCACCTTCTACTGAGAATTTACTTTTCTCAAAGTAGAGAAAATCTTGCTGTTCTGAGCAGACGAAGGTTACAATGTCATCATCACTGCTTTCAAATGTGAAGACCTTATTACAGTACTTTGTAGTAAGAACACAGCATCAAATATGAGGCCCATACCCCACGGCTCTTAATCTGAACATATATACAGATTAAGAATTTCCCTTTGGAAATGCCCAAGTGTCCACTGTCACATATTGCTGTGTATTTCGTTCCAGGTCTTCCCCCTTTGGACGGAACAACACAATACTTACTGTTAAACACTGTCTGTAATGGTCAAACCTTTCTCCCATGGGTGGGAAACAGCCCCAAACTCACTTGTCAACGGTCACCCTGGGATATTTGCCTTCATCATTTACCATTTGGGAGCTCGACTCCTCGGTTTAGTCCGTCCCAGCCAACATCCGCCGTCGTTGGCGTGCTTAGAAGACAGCTTTGTCTTTCTGACTGCCCATGATCCCATGGTCCCTCCTCCTTCTGTCGCATCATATTTATGTTTTATCATCAGACGTCTGACTATGTGTGCTTAGTTCATTTAGATTTTTTTTCTAGCTTTTCTTTTTTGTTCTGGTTGTTTTTATCGTGTGTGTGTGTGTGTGTGTGTGTTTCTTCCATGTGGTCTGTTCATTGTCTTTTTTATCTTGTTCTCTGTGTCCTTTCCTTGTGCTGTTCTTCGTGTTCTTGACATTGATGTTTTTCATTGTTCTTATCGGTTCTCTATGTTCTCTATGTTTTTTGTTTTTTTTTTTGGTTTCTTATCTTTTTTAAAAAATGTCTATATCTTTTATATTATTAGATTATTATTTGATCTTTTTCTTTTTTCCCCATGTGTTTCTTGTCTATTCTGTTGTTTTTCTCCTCAGAAACCCCTAGTTTTCTGTCATACCTTGGTCGAATCATCAGACTGGTCAGTCACATGTCCCTAATCAGCCTGATCAGCCACACCTGTGTTCACTCCACCCTTGTCTATAAAACCCAGTGTCTCTCCTTCCTGCTCTGTTTGGCTGACTTGATACCAGTGTTGTGTCCTCTGATTCTTGATGTATTGGTTGTTTTTTGTTTTTTGTTTTGTTTTTGTTTTTTGAGGGGATGGGTTTGATTTTCTGTTCCAGTCTTATTTTGTTTTTTGTAACTTGAGTTTTTTCTTGAACATTCTTAGTTCCGCATACCCCTTCAACCCCATGTGACAGCTTGCATGACATTGCTTACTTGTGAAGACACTTCATTAGGTCTTTGTAGTTCCCTGAGCACAAACAACACATGGCAGCATGTGTTAGCAGGCGACGGCTAATGGAAAAGAAGTGACGTGACACACGGTGTGACTGTGCTGCAGACACAAACACCAGAGCAAAACTGACACAATTAACAAGGATGACGCGGTTGTTGGTGCAAATTCACTTGACCCTGGTGGAGAGGGAAGAACAGCTGATGTCAGTTGTACTGAAGGACAGTTTCTGTTGTCAGCCCACGCTTGTCCGTCTGCATTGACAGAGAGACTCTGACTTCTCTCTTGTTACTGTAATACGTTTACACTTATTGAAGCTCCTAGACGTCCCATCCAAACACTGTCATGATGTCATCAATTCAGGATAAAAATAGACTTGATTCTCAGTCTGGATTCTCAAGGGGGACGTATCATGTAATATTGACTTTTACTGTTAAGCTAGTGCTACTTCGCTGTGTGGCAAAACTAGTTTCGCTCCACGTTTGCGTGTACACTGTGAAGCACTCGCTCCTCAACGATCCATCTGGAATAGATGGGGGATTTTTTTTTATCCTAAATGAACTAATTTGGCTGCAAAGCCATAAAAAACACTCTGCCGTACTGATCACATGACAGCGGTTATGTGTTAGTTCAGCAATTGTGCAAAATTAAAGAGCTAGGAGCTAAAAATGTACTGTGAGGGTGCGGCGATTTCTGAAATAAAAGTCAGTGTGAACAAAAGTGTGTTCCCTGTGCTTTAACTATTACAGGATCAAATACTGTTTAAACAAATACAGATGTCGATTCAGGACTGAGGAGTGTGAAAACAACATTTGTCTCAGTTTTGTTGTGGAGTATATGTCTTTTTCTTATTTGTGAAAATCTGGAGCTGCGTGTCAAAATATTCTGGGTGGCTCAACCCGTGCTCACACTCCTTACTCTGTGAGTCCCGCCGTTTTGCTTTACACGTTCACACATGCCGGACCGCGGTCACTCACGACCCAAAAGCTACGCACAGCTGCTAATGTAGCACAGCGCTACTGAACAAAGCTTTGATTAATTTACATGAAAACATGGAAGTCATGTTGAAGTAAAAATGTCAACGTCCAGGTTCTAGACCCTTTCTTCTGGCTGTGATTCTGACTCTGGGTCAAATATATATTGATGTGGTTTGAAAGCAGTTTCTGTATAAAAGATCAAGCGTTGCCGTGGTTATTTGAAGTGGGCGGAGGAAGCAGTGGCTCATTACCATTTAAAAGTAAAGGCACAGAAACCATCCATTCAAGTGTGTAGAAAACCCAGCTGTGCTCAAGCCTTTAGTTCTTTTTCAGCCATGTTACTGTGGACATCAAGGAACCGCCTTAATATTTATAAAAGAATGGGTTTTTTTTTAAATGTATAATGCCCACATCTGTAAAGTCTTCTGTGTAAAGGAACACATTTGAAATGTTTTTCATCATCTACAACGTACTTTCAGATCATAAAATGAATGACGTTTTTAACCCTAACCTTTACCACAACCTGAACCCCTTTCATTACACAACTCTATCACTGTTTATGGATTTTTTTACAAATTGATTGTGGATTTTTGTACATTGCATCAAAATCATCCTAGACCATAACATTAGTCGTACCCGACAACCTGAAAATCCAGCAGTCGGGTCTGAAGAGAAACACGGAGCAGGGAACCTCAGAGCTCAGAGTCAGACGTCGAGATTTAGCTGACCTGTCCGTGTTTTATGAATTCAAATGTGCCAGCAGGCAGTATCCACTGGTATCAGTAACAGCGAGAAAGCTTGGCACAGTATATATATACACCCGCAGCATGTGTAAAACAAGCCTGTGACCCTGCTGGGACTAAAAATACCACAGAACCAGGCCACGGAGAGGAAAAGGGAAAAACAATCAGTTTAAATGGAAGAGACTGTTGGCGGTGGTGTTGTGGTGGTTGTTGTTGTTGTTGTCATTGTTTTTGTTGTTGGTGTTGTTGTAGCTGTTGTTGGTGTCCCACGTGTACGGCTGATTTCCATTAAAGTTATGCCAGAAGTTAGTTGAAAGGGCATCGAGTTTAAAAACCTCCCAAACCAACATGAATGATTCAGAGTGTTTGTTGTCATATACAGTGGATAAACAGGGAAACACAATTCACTGAGAAAAGCCCAGAGAGCGTGGACTGCATTGTGTCTTTTACTGCACAGAAAACGTGAATTAGCCAAAAACGGCAGTGACTAGCTGTGTATTTATACAGCCAGTCATGTGTTAATACAGTACCTATACAAAAAAAACACACTTTCAGTGTTCACTTACACGGTATTCACAATCGATTCACAGTTTGATTTGAAAATGGAGCCTGAAAAGAAAAGAAACCAACAGCATGAGTCTGGAGCTGATGCTCGGAAAAACTGGCTGAATTATTAAAGAATTCTCTGATTTAATCTGTGAGATGTTGAAATGTGAAGCTGGAAAAAAACAACCTCACAGTGGAGATGGTTGGTCTGATTGAAGAAGACTTGTGGAGGAGAAAGGTCACCCAGAGTTCGCCGCGACACGTGTGAGGTTTTATTCATTTAAGACCTGATTTTGACGCGTGCAGTTAAAAGACTGTAACAGTCGAATCAAACGTCTCGCTTCACTCGCCTCCAGCTCGTGTCATCGCAGCCGAAAGACTCACAAACTCCTGTGGGACATGAGTTCAATTAACTCACTGTCACACCCAAGTCACATGGATAATTGTGGCAGAATTAAAGCTGTAATTGTGTCACCTTCCATAAGTAGGACGCGTCAGAGCAGGAGGAGGAAGCGAGGAGGAAAAGTCACAACAGGAAACGCGCTCAGACACAGGCACATCACACTGATGGACTGACAACAAGGATGACAGTCCACCACCAGGGCAGTTCCGTTATCGGCCCCATTCATCAGCCTTTCCTCTGTTTTGGAGGAAACACCTCACCTGGAGCCAGTGGTTTCTGGGTCAAAATCCAAGATCACATGTTCCTACATTTCTATATGAAGAAATAAAACAAAAAATGCAAATAGTTCCACAAGTGCTTGTTGTGGTAGTGGGTGGTCACCCCTTTGGACTCCACAGTCCAAAAACAGGTTAATTATTCACTCCTTACTGACTGTAGGTGTGAATGTAAGCGTGAACTGTCCATGTTGTTACCCTGACTCTGTTTTATGAGTCTAAACGCACAAAAAAAGTAAAATTTTCCTTCAGTAAAAACTAAAGGTTTCTACTGTCTCTTTCTTTGGACACAGAGACGAAGTTAGGACTGTTTCTTAAAAGAGTTCAAAAGACAAGACGTGACGCTAGTGTTCCATTAATTTGCGCTTTGCACCAATGCTGCCATCTTTTGGCCTTAATATATACCGCGCACCGTGATGATGTGGTGGAAAACTGAGGGAACACTGGGAACGAGTTGTGTTTTATCACAGTGATAGTCACGCTGAGCACTGTGCAGTGTTTGAGTGTAACTGGTCTGTAAAGTATTCTTTATTTACTGCGAATGATTTGACCTTCATCAACACGACAGACAGGGAGAACAATTACATACTCTCCCACTAGAGGGCGATAAATAGCTGTGTTGTGCTACGTGTCCTTTTTCTGCATTTTTGTTTGTCTTTCTTTTTCATTTTACAAACAAACACATTTTTTGGACCATGTTCATGTCCAGTTCCAGACAAAATACCCAGTATATTTTGTCTCCTTCCACTATATATAATTTGAAGCTGTACAAATAGACATATGTATTTTGCTTTAAGTGACTTTGTTTGACCTGGCTGACCACCAGAGGGCACTATGATCATGGTACATAACATGGTAATAAGCAAAATATTATTATTATCATTATTATTATTTGCAATACTAATAATAATCTTTTGTTGTTGTGATGTGTGTATTTATTTTAGGATTGACAAATCAGAACCCAGCATAAAATGAACCAATGTGACAATAATAATAATTTCCAACTCTTTCAGAGTCGGTGGTACAGTGGATACTTACTGTGAGCACAGGCAGAGTTGTTATTTTTGGCCATGTTTGTTGTTGATACAGAGTCCAGAGCTTCTAAGGAAATAAAAGAAAGATCAGTTATTAGAGCTTAGTAAATCTAAACTAATACACTACAACACAAGTCAGTTTTATTAAGACCAATGTCAGCTCCCCACTTCTGGCCTCTGATGAAACAAATCCTAACACTGCTTAAACCTTGGAATGCTGTGTAAGACCCTTCCCGATCCCACAGTAATGAAACCAAACACTGTCAGTCCAGGCTGGGTCTCCTCAGGACACGCTCACTGATATTATTATTGTTGTTGTTGTTATTGTTGTTGTTGTTGTCATTTTTGGAGCTCGGGCTCTGTCTCTCTGCGTGTGTCTCAGCAGGACCAAGTGAAAGAAGAAAGAAGTAGGAAAGTCACGCTGACGTCGTCTCACATGTCTCTCAGCAGCAGGTCATGTGTTTTCAAAGGCTGGCCAACATTTCCAGCTTTGTTGCCATAATATACTGGAGACTCAGGTCAACAGAGTCAGGATCAGAGCACAGTTCAGTCCACAGGCGGACAGACGGTGTTGGACGACCCCCGGCCTACTATTACAAGTGGGAAGTTTGAAAATCATTTCAAAATGAATAAATGAGAATATAAACATCAAAGTCAATTTTTTTAAGCCTCAGTTCTAGCCTCACCAAGAGTGCGCTCAGTGGTTGGGACTATGATGACACCATGAAGACATCAGTCCCAAGATAGAATTTGGTTGAATTTGAGACAAATGTTGTTGGCTCAAGCAGTGTTTCCTAAACGTTTTTTCTGGGGACCCATATTTTAAAAGTCAACTCAAGTCAACAGACATTATACGTAAACACCTGGGAAACATAATGCAAGACGACCCTCCTGAGGGTCGCGACCCAGTCTTTGGGAAACAAAGAATAAAGGACTGTTTCTCAAATGTTTTTAACTGTAGTACAATGATGCTGTTACAAGCAGTCCAACGACTGCAACTGGTAGCTAAGTTTCCTTCTCCAACCACACTTACAAATCGTCAAAGTTTAACGCTGAACTTCAAGTTTCTTATAATCAAATAAGGCGTTCAACAGCTGAGTGTCTGAATCATGTAACCCTGGAGGGAGCCAGTGTACGCACAGTGGTTCACGCACAGATCACGTCAACAGTTCTTCAGCTGTTGCAACAACACTTCCTTTACTTAATAGGTACAATATGTAAATCTTCTTCTTCTTCTTCTTCTTTATAGCACACACTTGTTTTCCTGGAAACTCACAATCACACACACACGCACATCGTCACTGACCTACTGTTGACCAGAGCAGCAGGCAAACCACTGTTTGTTCCTGACATACATCAGGTGCACGGTCGGTTTGACTCCAGTTAGCTGTATGGTGTTACAGGTATCAACATCATCATCATCACTACTGATTGTTGCCAGTAAACAGTGGCCGACTGTGAGCACCTGCTCACACTCTGTCTCTACACATGGACAGCTACTGGAACAGCACTATGGTGAGTTGAGCTCCTGACGCCTGAAGACTGAAGGACCGCTCTGTGTCGTCGGCTCTTCTGTTAATGTTACAGCTCGTGGAGTTTGAACAAATGGAGCACATTTACTAAGAGTTTACGCAGCGTTCTTAATGATGATTGGCTGGATTATGGGGATTACTGGAGTAATGATTTCACTCTGCAGATTCTTGATGGGACTTAAAATGCTGTAATTCAGCCAGGAGATAAAGATTTGTTTTTCTTTACTTCTGAGATGTTTTTTTTTTTTTTTTTTTTGTTTTGTTTTGTTTTTGGTTAGTTTCTGTTTTGAGAAAAGGGACAAAGCCGAAAAGAAAAGAAGGAGAAGCAGCTTCTGTTCTGAGAAGATGAAACCACAGAGTGTTAGTGTTACTATGGGCTCTTTTAGGATATCTTATATTGTTTTGCACTTGCACAGATATGTATCGAACAAAAAGAAGCGTTTTTGAATCAAAGCAAACGTCACATTTTGAACCAAACATGAATGGACACAGGTTGAAACCTGGAAAGAAATGGATTCTGTGATGGAAACACTAGTAAAGAAGAGAGATTGGAACATTAATCCTTTTTTTCCTCCTCTTTATAAGAACAGAAACTGACATAATCTGTTGTATTTTTTTATTTTAATCTGTATCTTATCTGGTCAGTAGATCTGAAAATATATTCCTTAATATAACTTTTACCCAGAAGTTCAGCGCGGCACTGTTTATACACACGTTTTGACAAAAGCTCCTTAAAATGAGTGCTTTATTTATTTATTTATTTTTAACCTTGGTCTTGTGAAATGTATTGCTAAAGAAAATCCCTCCTAAATAACCTGAACGGAACATTTGGTTCCAATCAGCAAAGTTATCAAAAAAAAAGCCCCACGGTCGCCTCCTCATCAGTAACAACAAGTAACTTGGAAAAATGCTGTCAAATCTAACGCAGAAATATGTCTTAATACCATGGAGTAGTTACATCTACACAGTCTTACAGTTACCATCGGCCCTTAAAAGAGGAACTGTCATACTGATGTGACACCTCTGCTGTAGAGGGTGGACAAGAGTTCAGAAGTCAGCTGCAGATAGTTTTCCCCTGTTGAAGACCAGACTCAGACATCTGTTAATACTAAACATGTGTTTTTGACCTCCCTCTCTATTTCCTCTTCCCAGCGGCGTGACTGTGAAGTGGTGAAGGAAACTCTGCAGACGTACTATCTGTCAGTGTCATACAGTCTGGAGTTCTGCGTCGGTTTCCTTGGTAATCTGGTAGTCGTGCTGGGCTACATGCTCTGTTTGCCACAGTGGCAGAGCTTCAACATTTACCTCATGAACCTGGCAGTGTCTGACCTCATCTTCCTGTGCACGTTGCCGCGCCTCGCCTACCTGTACGCAAATGACCAGAAGGAATCCAGTCCTTATGCCTGCATGGTCAACCGCTACATCCTGCACATGAACCTTTACTCCTCCATCCTCTTCATGGTTTGGTTGAGCATGGACCGCTTCCTGCTCATAAAACATCCATTTAGGAACCACTACCTGCTCAGGTCTCGGACGGCCCTGATCGTGTCTGGCCTGACCTGGCTGGCGGTCAACGTCCAAGTGTGTCCACTCATAATACTGATGATACAGGACCAGGAGTACAGGAACTGGAGTACCTGCACAGACTTTGCCAGTCTGAAAGGCCAGGTGAACTCACTGAACTACAGCCTGGGCCTCACCCTGACTGGATACGTTCTTCCTCTCATCGCTCTTTGCTGTTTCTCCTACCAAATCGCACATTTGCTCCGAGTTCAAGAGACAGTGGTGCAGCAAAGAGGAAGGTCCTTCAAGCGTCCTCTCAGGGTGGTGGTGTCGGTGGCGGCCATGTTTTTCTGTCTTTACACCCCCTACCATGTGCTTAGAAACGTCACCATAGCCTATCAACTGTCTTGGCCCAGACCACCGCTGTGTACCAGCGTGTACACGCAGGTCCTGTACATCCTCAGTCGACCACTGGCGTTCCTGCACAGTGTCATCAACCCTGTGTTCTACTTCTTCATGGGTGACAAGTTTAAAGAACTTTTATCCAAGAACCTCAGGAAGTTGCTGAGAAAAACAGAACAACAGAAAAACCCTTCTCTTGACTTACAGCTAAAGGTCGCCTGTTCAATTCCCAATGGTGACTGATTGTTATACTGAGTTTGCATTTTCTCACATTGTGTCCATGCCTTTTCTCCAATTTTTTCCACAATCTAAGTGTAGCTGTGTGGAAGTAGGTGTGAACGTTAGTGTGAATGTTTGTCTATATCTGGCACTGGGTGAGCTGTAGAACTGTCTAACCCCACCCTCGCCCCCGGACTTCAGGGATTCACTCCAGCTAAAGCGAAGCAAATATAGCCAAAGCCGGGTTCATGTTGAGTCTTTGAATGAAGATTTTGTTGATGTTGTAAAAACAATTTTATATACATTGTTCTTTGTGTTAAAATGTGTACAAAGATAAAACATCTGTTGCTTCATTAAGTCAGCTTGCTCTTAATTGTCTTCTGGTTTTGTGTAATAAATATAAATAAAGTCATAGTTACTGACTGCTGCTTACTGACTCGTGACTAGAGATGTAACGAAGCATCATGAATCGATTAAAAATCAATTCAAATACATGATGATTCGCATCAGATTTTAAAAAATACCATCAGGGTTAATGTTAGCTACAACAGTCCTGGTACAGACACCAGAGCTAACATTAGCTCCAACAGTCCTGGTACAGACCCCAGAGCTAACGTTAGCTACAACAGTACTGGTACAGACACCAGAGCTAACGTTAGCTACAACAGTACTGGTACAGACACCAGAGCTAACATTAGCTCCAACAGTCCTGGTACAGACCCCAGAGCTAACATTAGCTACAACAGTCCTGGTACAGACCCCAGAGCTAATGTTAGCTACAACAGTCCTGGTACAGACCCCAGAGCTAACATTAGCTACAACAGTCCTGGTACAGACACCAGAGCTAATGTTAGCTCCAACAGTCCTGGTACAGACACCAGAGCTAACGTTAGCTACAACAGTACTGGTACAGACACCAGAGCTAACATTAGCTCCAACAGTCCTGGTACAGACACCAGAGCTAATGTCGGTTTTTTTGGACACTTCTACCAAGCAACAGCATCAAACACCTAAACTGGATTATTTTGATCCTCACTGACGTCTATTTGTGTATTATCTTCAATCTGCAGGAGGTTGCACCCACCATGGTTAAAAAAATCTTTTAAGAGCACCAAGTGGAACTGATACCATGTGGCACATCATAGCTGTGACCACTGTGGGGTTTGGTATTTTTGTGTGAAAGTAGGTCTATAAATACATATGGCAGTTAACAACCGTGTGTTTAAGAGTGGAACAAACAGAAGTTTTATTGATAATGATTAGGTAGAAAAATCAAACATTTGCATCTCAGCTAATATGCTACTGTGGCTAACTGTTTATACAGTGCTGGTTAATGGTTAACGTGCCTTAACGTGAAAATGTAATATTTAAATTAAATGTTTCGTAGTCCTGGATGAAAGGATGCTTTTGTGCAAATAAACATAATGGTCTGTGAACTTCTTACTTCCTGTGTCTGAGTTTGACCATCCTGACTAACATGACTTTGCAGTAACATTTCAACATTCCTCAGTGATGTCTGGATGCCTTAGGTGATGAAAGTAATGATCTGTACTTTTGTTCGTTTGTTCATGTTTCATTTATTGCAGAGGGAAGAATCAATGTACAAAGCCGACTTATATAAAAGAAAACCTTACATAAAACAAACTTTAGTGATGAGGGAGGGAGTTGGCTCGTTGTCATTAGATGGGACAGTACCCTCTGTGTTCTCACTGACAAACTGAAATGAAAGAGAGTTTTTTTTTTCTACAAGTTCTCCTCAAACCATTTCACCAGGTTGCCTATAATTCGATGTGCTATCTGGAAGTCAGTGGGCCACGTGGTGAACATCATGGCTCCGTGGAATCCTTCTTCGTAGTGTTCATGTGTCACCTCCACCCCCGCGGCACGTAGCCGTGTGACGTACATGATGCCGTCATCGCGGAGGACGTCGTACTCACATGTCATGACGTAGGCCTTGGGCAGGGATTGCAACTCTGTGTCTGGAACCAGCAGGGGCGACGCCCTGGGGTCAATCAAAGATTTAGACAAAGCATCCAACTCCTTAGCTTCTCCAGCGCCACCTGGTGTCACAGCGGGAGCACTGTAGCTGTAGTTCCCATGGTAGCTTTTTGGTAGAAAATCGTACCAGTTGACAAACTTCAGTAGACGGGCTGATTCCTGGTTGTTGTGGGTGTTTGTCATCATGGCCCTGAAAAAAGCCCTGTCACTGGTGAAGTACTCGCTCCAGAAGCGCACCATGAGGGTCCGAGGAAGAATGGGCCCGTTCTGGTTCTGCTGGTAGGAAGGAGTGTTCAGGTCCAGAGCCTGAAGGACAGGGTAGATGAGCGCCTGGACCTTGAAGTGAATCTGTTGTCCAGGCTCTTTCTGCAACTGTGGAGAAACAACAGCAAAAGTTTGGCATTATTTCAAAAACAACACGTGAGATGAAAGCTTTGAAAATAAACCAGCGTGAAGTCTGACATTTCACATCACACTGACGCTGGTACTCATACTGCATCCTGGCCTGTGTCTGTGACCCTAAAAGAACTGTAACAGGCCTCTCCTTGGTAATAACATTGTTACATTATGTTACACTCGTAACGTGGCCGACAGACAGACAGACAAGGGGAGATGCAGAGATATGCTATGATGCATGAGCCAAACAGTGTGATGAACAGAATTAGCCTATAGTACACCAAGTACACATTGTATTAGCCAATAGTATGCTGTGTACGATCTCGTCTGGTAAACAAAGCTACCAGCGATCATTTGCAAATGCGCTTATCTCAATTTCAAAACGAGAAACCACAAATAATCACAAATAATTAGTTTTAAAGACAACTCCTTAAAATATTTGAGGCAAAAGTCACATAAATAATCAACTAAATTTCAAACAGAAATGTTCGTTACTACAAGAACCAATCACAATACGATGTTAAAACCACACATCCTTATGAAACGGGACCTTTTACAACGACAACCTCTACGTATAAATACATATATTTTAATAATCAAATTGACTCTGGCTCATGATCCTGACTTTCCATCCATGACATTTAGTCCTCAGTAATCTTATCAACCAGGCCAGACTTGGCCTCAGGGAATCATAAAGGCCTTATGTTTTACATGTTCATCCAAACTTTACATCCTGGTTTCATACACTAACACATGCAGGTAATGCAAACATGATGATGCCCAAATGACATCCACATGTTTGTTTAAACAAAGAAGAAGAAGAAGAAGAATGTAACTTCAGCTTCAGTCACCTCACTCTGTTGTTGCCAGGTGAAAGAATAGAATGTTCCTACTCAATGTAAACACATGTTAAAACCTAAGCTGATTTTTATTTTTATTTTATCTCTTTGAATCCATTAATAGACCAGTTTGTCTGATGAGATTTTCAGAATTAGTCTGAAATACACTTAAAATACCCCCCCAAAAAACAAACCAAACAAAAACCATCAGAACCTGCTGGGTAACGGCAGCTGCCAGGTTCCCTCCAGCACTGTCCCCAGACACAGCAACGCGTTTGGGGTCCACAGAGTACTGGGCCAGCACCCCCTGCTGGAGGAAATGTTTGACCACACGGTACACGTCCTCAAATGGTGTCGGGAAGTGGTGAGCAGGAGACAGGCGGTATCTGTGAGGAAGACAGGCTGAAGATTAAAGGTTTAATCTCAAAGTTAAAACAAAAACAAAAACAAATACATACATACAATTTTTATTTTTTTTCTCTGCGGAGCAGTACCAAATGAACAACAGTCAGGTGTAGGTCTGGGAACCATTGGTTGGTCATCTCACTGTCAGCATTAGCATCAGAGCAAACACAGTGTGGCCAGTTCAAAACGACCAGATCCTTCTACTTCACTTTATTACTAACCAGCACCACTACCACCACCTGCTGGTAGGTAAAGTCATTTTACTTTAAGACGCCATTGGAAACTGTTGACCATCACTGTTGTGCTTCCTGGACATAAATGAATAGAGTACTTACTCCACCGAGACCACCACTGCCCCCAGGTCGTTAGAAACCTGTCTGGCCAAAAAGTCATAAGGAGCCATTCCTGTCAAATTAAGGATAGATAAATAAAGAAGGAAAGAAATGAGAGAAATCATTAGAAGCTGTTGATTATGTTGACCTCCATCATGGCTACCATCACTAGGCTGCTTTTTTTTATCTAAATGTTAACTTGTCTCAAGCTTTATATAAACGTTTCACAGAAGAAAAAGTCTAATATTGTTGTTTTTTTGTTTTTTTTTTTGCTCACCTAAAGCCATGACCTTTATATAATAAAACAACAACCATCCTTAAACTCACTTGTGCCGCCGACACACCATCCTCCTCCATGAAAGTATATGACAGCTCTCCTCAGCTCACCGTCGCCGCCCTGCTGCTTTGGCTGATAAACCACTACCTCTACTCCATCGAATTTTTCCACGGACACGTGAACCCATTTATCAGACACCGGAGAGACGCTTTCTACCACAGTGATAAAGTGCATGACCCCCATGTAGTCCTTCAGCCCCAGGAGCTCACTGAAGTAGGCCTGGTGGGGGGGGGGGGGGGGGGGGGGTACAAGGTAACGTTCAACATTAGTTCATTTAGGAGTTTAATTAAAAAAGTACTGCAAAATGATCAAAAGTACAACAACATTTGGTCAACAAAACGTTTCATGTGAGGACTACAAATCAAACCAAACCTAAAGGCTGGCGAGAGATTAAACATCAAACAAAGTTTGTCTTCAACCACACTAGTCATCAGCGGGTCATGTGACGGACCCTCAGACACTTGGACAAAGAAACTCTCCGTTAGAAGCAGAACTCTGATACAGATAGAGAGTGTTTCTTCATTGCCCTGGGTGTTTTTATCTGCCATGTTTGTTGTAGACACAAATAAAGCAGTGATGACAGTCATGAAGGTGAAATGAGCCGTAACATTCAAAACACTGGGAGTTCAATTAAAGGAAGTGGAGCCGACCAGAAATCCAGGCATGCAAAATACACTGTGCCATTTCTCCCTCAGATAAACCACTGCAGACATACCTGATAACAATAGTTGTGTAAATGTTTACTGTGGTCACGGGTCATATATTTTATTAATGTTCTGCATTTGTAAATGATAAATATTTCCATTATACTAAAATCATTGCCCTGTAAATAGAAGTTTTTTTTCTTCATGTCTCACAGACGGCCAACTATTTCCTTTTCTAACATAGTTATGGAGCAGCACACCTGGTGGAGTAATGACTCAGCTGCGCTTCAATACGTTTCTATTTCTGACGTAATGTAATAATATAATGACACAGCAGTAACTCTCTTGGTGTAACAAGATTGGAACCCACAACCTGAATAGGAATAGTGATGATACTATATAGACTGTGTAAACTCAAGGCTTGCAGGCCAAATGTGGCCCACCAAGTTATTTTGTGTGGCCCGCGTGACTGTCAAAGGTCTTTAATTGCCGTATAGTAAAGTCCATGCTGCTGAGTTTCTTAATAAATGTAATAAATTAAAGTGTTTTTACTGCACAGAGCCATGTACGATACTTGTAATTTTAATAAATAATAATCATTTGCAGAGACATTTAATAATGTTGCACACTCACCACCAAAGTGGATTTGGGCTATACAACTAAAATGGACTTGACTTACATTTATACAACCTTCAATGGGAGCAGTATTGACTCACAGCTGCTATAGATTAACCAAAGTTGACTGTCTCCCCCATGTGGTGACAGATGATAACACACCCCAGTGCCCCAGGTGTTTACATCATACTGTAGCTGCTGTTGTCTGTGCTACAGTGAGTGAGCAGCTGTGTTTTGCCTTGGGTTGAACATAAGGTCCAGTGGACTGGTTTGAGTGAAACTAATGGGTGGAGGTGAAGGGGGGTGTAGGGGTGGAGCAGTGTGCCTCGGATTTTTCTTTTTTTATAATCACATGCTTTTCAACAACAAAGTGGTTGAAATCAGAACGGCTTGTGATGAGCCTTAATATGATTGGTCGCTTCCAGTGATCCACTGACTGACTGATCTACTGCACGTACACCGAAGACACAAACCTGCTACCAGCATTCATGTCAGCTGATAACCTCTGACCTTGGACATAAGAAAATTCAGACTTGCCTATAGAGCACCCCAGTCTAATGGCCTCTGTTTGTCCACTAAGTTAATGTGAGTTAAAGTTGTTCTGTAGCAGAATGTGGTTGAAAGTTTCTATATTTACAGACAGCGTGACTGTAAAAACTTTTGGTTTGAATCCCTGTTGAGGAAGCACCAAAGGCCCCCTTGGCCCCACCCCAACCCTCCATCCCCCACCTCCCCTTCACTCACCTTGTCACAGAGGTGCTGAGATCATTGGTGCTATACTATAAATAAATAAATAAACACCACAACCCTGTGTAATCAATGAGCAAATCTGCAACATATCTTTAAGCACTATGTTGAGTTTTTATTTTCATATTGTTGTTTATTTTATACAAAAAAGTAAGATTCAAAGGTCAAAGGTCTTCTTATAAAAGTCAGTTCCATTGTGTTTCCTCTAAATCTGTTTGAATGAAGCAATTAGACAAATTGGACTTGATTTTTTTAATTAGTGTTAAATCTCTAATGTTTATATTTCTTGTCATTGCAATGAGTCCTAAAGTTTGCCACCACACAACACATATTTTTCATCCATACCATAAATACTTTTTCAATAAAAAAGAACCTGCGTTTTTTCATAGTGGTCAACAGTGGTAACTACAGCTAATGAGCACGGTGCGGGGTTGAGTGAATTGTGTCTATTATTAGAACAGGGGAGCAGGACTATACAAGACATGGATTAGCATCTAATATAATCTGGTGTAACCAGGCATGACTGTCTATCTACATCAGCAAAAACAGTCAAACCTTCAACCACCCAAACCAGACACAGCCACAGTCGGACTGACGTCATTTCTCCACTCTATACACACGTTTGAAAAAGTAAATCAAGAATATAAGGCTTATTTCTTCATGGCTGTATTGTAAAAAAAAGGTCTGTCACTGGTGTGAGCTCATGCATAGATGATATATAGTCCAACTCACCAGGTGACCCAGACTCCTGAAGAAGCAGTCGGTCAGCATGAGCTTCCATTTCTCCCCTATTGGCTCCGGGATGGGCTCATAAATATAATAAGCAGTGAATGAGCAGAGAGCCACAAACACAATGATGCTTCCCAGCCTCATTTTACAGCGTGTGTCCTAACAGATGAATTCAGGCTGCACACACACTCACGCTCACACACACTCACACACTCACAGACACGCACAACACAGTAACTGTAACCAGCGCGGCTGCAGACGCGGCTCCAGTGCGCCACGGATCTCAAGGCTGGAATGAACTGACGGATAAGCGCGCGTCATTTGATGGTGTCCGTCGCGCGCATGTTCCTCTGAAGTCCGTCGATGCTCGTGCACGTGTGGTAGTGCGTGCGTGTCTTGTGGAGCGGTTGGATTACTTGGACGGTGAGTGATATGAAAAAAAGACGCGTACGCGCTGTGCGCGCTCACATGGCAGGACCGTCCCACCTTGGACCTCAGCGCACATTCCTCTTATCTTATCTAGGGTTACCTTTACTAGAACTTTTGGAACCCGTATGTCACTACGTAACCAACATGGACTGGTTCCCTTATCAGTTCACCATATTATAGGCCATATTGTATAACACAACCTGCTACTGTGTATGTACTACTCTAATAAACTACACAGGAGTAGTGGACATGATCTGCTCTGTTTCATGGCTCTGGTCTGATTCAAAGTTAGTCTTTGTAGTCACTAGTCTTTGTTCTGCACATCTGTCATGGCCACAGATTTAAATCAGTGTTCCCCTGTCCTCTCTGTTTTGGAGAGAACTTGACTTCATCTACAGTACACTAGGAGCAGTGGCCTGTCTCAGTCCATCTGACTGTGGTGAGGTGCCCTCTGCAGGATTCTGTGGGAAATCACTGAGTCAATCACGGATGACCAACGAAAGTGTCAATATTCAACTCAAAATCAAGTCAAGATTCCTCTTTTTCTTCCTGGTAGAAACATGAATTCACGTCTCCACGTCCCTGTCCTTGGTGTTGAAACACACCAGAGAGCGTGTGTACCCCCCGACTGTGAAGGTGTGTTAACCATTCTGCGAAATGTTTGGACGAAGGAGGGAGGAGTGTGAGCTCCAGGCAGGGATCTTCTCAGAAACCTCCTGGAGCTTCAGTCTGTTTTTGTCTCCATGTCCTGAAGTGACTGCTGGATGACACGCTGTTTGGACGCAGTACAAATCTCCACCCAGATGTTGAGCCACCACCCTGGTTCAACAACTAGGGGATGTTATGTTGGCTATGTGATGTTATATTAATATGTGGATATTAGTAAAGGTTGAACAGAGAGATTCCCACAGCAGGACTGGGAACAACAGTCCATTCTACTCTGTTCATTACACTGTTTATCCTTGATACAACCACACTGATGATCCTCGGGGATAAATAAATCTTTAGCCAAACCACAGCTTTTTATGTTTGTCAGAATTTTGGACAATGAACTTCTACCATCAATCGTCCTTTTGAGGCAGTAACTCAGAGTCGTACTGTAGACGTCACATTTGATTAAAGCTCCTGAGGATGAAAACAAACACTGCTGTTTCCAATTAGAGGAAGAACGTGAAAGTGAACACACTGATTACTGTTCCCCAAAACAATGGCCGTTGTGTAAATGGCTGTTGTATCCAATTCATTTGACTTTCTTTAGAGAACAGCTCCTCTGTGTGTCTGTAAATGATCCACTCATCCACATATCAATCTTTCACCTCTTGATCCCTTTCAAGGTCACGGGGGGCTGGATCCAATCACAGCAGTCAACGGGTGAGGGTGGGGTTGGACAGGTGGCCAGTCCATCACATCTATAGTCAGTTAAGAGTGAACACAGAGCTGTTCTAAGATCTGCAAGTTTTCAAACTTTGGGAGAACCTTGAGAACCTTGAGAACCTGGAGACTATGTTAATCTTGACTTCATGATGAAATCAGAACAAACATCACATTTCCAACCAAACTTTTCAACCAAAAATGGAGAAATAAATATCCTTATTATTAATGCAGTTATTGAGTCAATTTGTCTTGAACATTTTTTTGTCTCTGTGTATGCCCAAATTTGCAAATGTGTCTCTTAATGAGCCAATCTAATTTCACAGAGTTGATAATGATATTTAATCCCACCCCCACATAGAGGAGCTCCACCCACACCACCACGACCACCTGATCAAACATTTGGTTTAATCATGAAGACTGTTGGAACACTGTGTTGTACTGAAAAACTGAGCACAGCTGTTCACTTTAGCACAGCTGCTCCATGAGCAGCTCTACAGTCAGACACCTGTGGGTTTGGTAGAAAGACTTATGGAACTTCCAAGAACCAGTTGTCTTGGCAATGAGCAACCAGGCGTAAAGCACCTCTGGTTTCTTTATGACCGGTGATACCATTGAAGAAAATCCACATGGAATGAGGTGAAAGTTCAACATGCCTTATGACAAAAGTGTTGCATGAGCAACTGCTGATAAAGAGCTTATCTTGTTTCCTACAGCCTGTCCCATGATCCTGGGAAATAATGCACTTAAAGATTGTTGGAGCTTTGGAGGCTGGTCACGTGGAGGAGGTGTGGTGGAGGAGGTGTGGTGGAGGATATCAAAGAAACTGTAGATCTAGATCTAAATACATGGATCTCCATAAGTCCATTCACCGAGGATCCAAACGTCCTTTAGCATTCCAAGACTTGGACATTGGAAAAACATTAATGTGGAAACTTTCAATGAACAGAACTCCTGACTATTCTTTTTAGCTAGAGTAAAGAGAGGATGAACAGTGCCTGAAGGTGACTGCTCTCAGCTGGAATAACACTTCAGCTCCTCCCTGTGATCCCAACACAGTGGTTCCTAAAGTGTGGGGCGGGCCCCAGGGGGTGCTGAGCTATTGCAAGAAAAATGAATTTCATGTAAAGGTTCATGTAAAGGTTTTTATAGACAACTGTACTGTAAACGTCATGCACGAGAGACACATATATATGTACTTAGAAAGAAGAAGTGGAATGAAGTAAAAGACAGTAATGTCATGAGCACACTTCACTTTCATTGTTTTGTTTTAACTTTACTCTCCAGCAGATGGTGCTGTGCTAAAGCCGGTAAATTCTTATATACTGTATGGGGGAAATTATCCTGAAACTGAGACACTGAAATGAGACTGTGATATTTAAGGATGGTCTTTCTGTTAAATACTGGTAAAGTTTCACACTTCACACTGAAATAATTTACCGAGTGTGCAGTATAAGACTTGACAGGTTTGACAGCCATTCAGTCAGCTACCACGGTCTGGACTTCTTTTATAAAAGAAAAAGTATATTTTCCTAATAGGTGTACAAATAGGATTTATTTTATTTTATTTTATACTCGGCCAATCAAAGTGGTTCTGTGTCTGATCCTCTGGGTCAACCCTCCACATGTTTATCCAACATGTTGCTCTGCTGGACTCTGGAAAGATCATTATTAATAGATTAAGTTGTGCAAACGAAAAAGGCACACAATCATTCTTTGAGATTGTTGGTATCTTTTATTTAAAAAGTACTAGGACTGTTTTAGTTCCAGGAACTGTTTGTAGAGGGCAAAGGTTGATGTATGCAACAGCATGTGTACTACATCTGAAGAACAGGAAGGAACTGGCCAATCAATGTTCTAAAATGTTGACTAAGTCAGACATACATTACAATGGGAAAGTGAATCATATTTTTATGTGTGTTTAACCTTTATTTGCCTGAAAAAGACTCAAGTGCTGACTGAAACTGGCAGCAGTGACCCTTCTATAGTGAAGAACCTCAACTCAACAAAAAACTACAAATTCAACTACAAACCAACAAATGTCTTCAACTGTTCATACAGTATATCTCCAGCAGGGGGCAGACCAACCTTGCTGCCGCCTCGAGCAACTCCTCTGCAGGGACTGACTGCCTGACCTTCAACTTGCTCGTTATTGTCCATTTTTTATATTCACCGTTTACTTCATATGACACTTATTCACGGCTGTGTTTATTTTTACTGTGTGTTGTTATATTTTTTATTTCATTATTTTATAGTTTTATTTCAGTGGCCGTGACGCGACTGTTAGGAAACGATAACGACCTGTGGAAACTGGAAACGGCCGAAATAAAAAAGTCAGACGGACACAACTTCACTTCAAGGTTCTTTTTCTTTTACATGTTATTGTTAAGGATACAATCACATACTCATGTTATAATACTGCAGTTCTAGATGAATGACACCTTGTTTACAAATCCTTTAAAAAAAGTAGATACTTTTTAACTGAAATATTTCTTTCACCAACGACTGGAGATGATAAGGTGTCGTCGTCTCTTATCCAACATTACCACGTATTCATGATCATTACAGCTAGTTTTTAACCAGTGTCTTATGTGATTATATCACATTTGTATTTCAAATTCAATTTCTCATGTGTTTATAGTATTAAGCTTTGGTTGTTCCAGATTCAATGTTTACGCAAAAAAAAAAAATTGTTTCCACATTACAGATCTGGAGAGAAGGAACAACATGAATAACTGCTGTCAATTTTCAATAAATATTAAGTTTGACCCAGGATTTTGTCCCAGTTTTTAATTTAGGCCCACTGTGAAATTGACTTTGACACCGCTGCTCTATAGAGTCTGTAGTAGATTTGTAGTAGATTTGTAATAGAGTACTTCAGAAACTCTATTCTCTGACACATTCTTCATCTGACCTTTAATTACATTCCTGTAAATCACCGGCCTAACATTTCTGGGAAAAACGCCTTTTTTTTTTTTTATCTTTGTCGTTAAAGACGTCGTCGACTTATAAAATCATAAATCCAGTAAATGTAAGATGACATCATGTGTTGTCAGCCCCACGGCCGACTGTAACTCTGGGTTTTTAAAACGACAGATGAATCGTTCCTGATGGGAAAAGACCAACGACTGACGTCCAGAAGATCAACGTTTCTCTCTTCTCTCTGGGAACGTCTGTGCATTTCTGCAGGTTCTCCTTGTTACTGAGGAGCTGGACAATCACTGGTTAGCCACGGGTTAGTCAAATCATCACTGGTTTTATTAACCTGTTCATCATTTGTTCTCATTTTAACTTGAATTGTTCACACTAAATATCTCGGTTCTTTCAATGTGGCCCTCCAATCAAATGACAGGGCCAGCAGTGGCCCCCGGGCCATGGATTAGGTCCCTGGATTAGAGTGTTGGTTATGGAAATGACAAATGTGAATTAAAAAGACATAAATACGGATTTAGCAGTGAATCAAAGAGACAAAGTCTCAAATAAAAAAAAATCCTCAAATGAAGTAAAACAAAAGCCACTAATTGGATGGTCCTCAGGACACCACTCATCCCAATGGAATCCCCTCCTCTAACAAACACCATGTGTCTGTGCGACTTGTTGCATCACAGGACAATCATGGTGTTTGCGTGTGTGCTGGACTGATTTCGGTCCCAGAATTTCTTCTTCTCTTTTTCTATATTCATACCACTCCGTCTCTGAAGCCAGAAGGACCAGTACAGCTCCACACACACACACACTCCTAAACATGTTCTTGGTCACTGCACGTTAGCAGTTTGAATTTATGGGTCATCGGTTCCACAGAGTGACACTTTTCTTATTAACCAGCTTTTCTATTGTTCATACTTTAGAAGGAACAAATCACTTCAATTGATGAACTCACACATGTGTTTGATTATGGGGTTTTTGTGAGCGCAGATGAAAAGGACCGAGGAGAAGTTCTGAGCGGGACTGAACCACTGTGTACCAGCAGAACCCTGCTATCCTCCAGTTCTCTTAAAGCTGGGTGGATTGTGTTTCGGGTTGTTGTTGTTATTGTTGTTATTGTCTTAGAGCCACTGGGGTAAAAACACTGACATCAGTTAGATCAGTGAGGATCAGCTCGGGGGCCGATCAATCGGCCATCTCTGGATCCAAGGACTTTTTATTTTCCCCAGTTCTGACAGTCGAGCCCTTCAGTCTTCAGTAATGCTCTGGTCATGACGTGTTCACTCAGACTGATCCACGGCTCCAACCTGTGGATCCACCAGGTTTTACTGCAGCTATAAATGGCAGGAGGCTCAGAAGTGGATTTGAGGATCTGTGTTTGTCAGAATCAGTCAAAACATCACTGACAGATTCTGGAGAAATGGGTCACATCCCAGCTCTATCCACTCTATCCTAAGGACATGGGATCGGGTCCTGATTTATGGAGGTGAGTTCTGTCTCCTCCATCTCCATGTTCCAGTCTGCTCTCTTCCTCTGTGGTGTTTCCATCCAAGAATTCCTTCTCTGTAGAATTCTGGAGGACGACCTTTGACACCAGGTGATGTCTTAACATCAACCTGTGCTCCAGGGGTTGGGCATCATCAGAGGGTTGCAGGTTCAACACCACTGTCTCTAAAGTCCTCTTCCTGAGCAGGAACATTATCACCACTTCCTCCACGGCCCACACGTTTGTTATTGAACTCTGGACACAGCACTGCCCCCTAATGGAGGCCAAACATAAGGCACACACGACACTATGTGGGCAGTGAGGCTTAAAACAGACCCATCTAAATATGCAAATAAAGGGTTAATAAATGAGGACTGAGGTCCAGCTGGTCCAGATCACTGAGCAGCAGCTGGGTTCCATGCAACAAAAGTGTTACAGATGTGAGTGTCACTTTAAGAGAGCTTGTAGTCATTTATATGGACGGTCAAAACAGAGCTGCGTCGTTTCTTTGTTGTTCTGTGGTCGGACTATGAAGAAAAGAACTGAGGAGCTGGACGAGGAATTTGACGTCCCTGTATGACGCACACGGCCATGGACAGGACAAACCTTCACGAATGAATTCAAATGTTGCTGTTGTTAAAGAAAAAGATTCTTTGCAGTAATCCAATCACCAATCCCAGGGATTAACAAAGCAGTAAACCCTAGGAATACACGTGTGTCTCAAATGACAAGTTCAAGGAACTGGTATGTCTATATTTACACCAGGCTGAGGTCAAACACAAGCCCACACACCTGTGTTGTTGTATTTGTGTGCATACCATGGTATGTAGTTACACCGTTAAATAAATACTGTGATGAGCAGAGGTGGAAATACAATCAGAAACAGACAACAAATGTAAACATGCTAACTAGGTCAATGTATTATTTTAATTTGGATAGAATGATAACAGGTGATAGGACACCCCCCACCCCGCCCCCCAAGTCACCCACCATCAGTGTGCCTGAGGTTCAATTCCACCTGGTGGCTGAGCAAGGAAGTGGATTTCCGCTACAGAAACCTATGGTCACGGGACAAGCAGAAAGCTACATAAAAATTAA